TTTCATCCTATGATGAATTCCGTCACAAGATGTATTAAAACATGCACTTTATTTTACCCTAGGTGTCCGATTCTTACCGCTTCTGTCCCAACTGCATCTAGTTTTTATGCAGGTTTGTTCAATGCACCTAAAACTTATTTGTGAAGAAGCAAATTGACCATGGTGTGGCGACTTGCCCCTTTTTCACTCCCATACTCCCCTACTTCTCCCATTCTCTCCGTAGACTTTTTTCTTCATACTATCTTTGCTAGTCGTTTGCTCCCATATCACACTAGAATCTCATTTTTCAGGTTCAGCGTACCTGTGCACTTGAAAACTAAAACCGTTGTGATTCGTTGCATCCCTCTTGAGTCCGTTCTCAATTTCAAGGCCTAGGAGCCTCGAAATTGAGATTCTCTCTCTTATTTTCTAGTTCCCTTTCATTTTGGCATTCAAAGGCCACCACTCCTCAAATTCCTTGTGCTTGGGCCCTTGTCTAGTTTGTGCCCGCTAATCCATTTGTGGGCTCCTTGCTAGGTTCCCTTGCACTTAGGATTTTCTCATGTCGTAATCGGGCGGCTCCCTAGGCTGAATGTTGGCGCCTTCCATAGTGGCACCAAGGCATTATTTTCTTAGTGTTGTCGAGCCCTACTCTTCTCCATGGTACTAGCATCCGGGTATTATTCTTTTTTTGGCGGTCCTCCTTTTATAGGAAGGAGGGGCGCCTCTACCAATTTTCTGCAACACTTTAATTACCTTATCTTCACATGTTATTTTTCATGTGTCATGCAGCCCCTGTCTTCGGGTCCTCCGTCCTTGTGGCCTTGAGTTTCTCGTCTTGGGATTCTTGGTCCTAGTGGGTCAATCTTTGTCATTTGTCTTGTCCTTTCGTTCTCTTCCTTTCTCTTTTTCCTGATTCCTATGTTGTGCACATCCTTGTCATGTACCATATCTCAAGGGTCAGGACTCGATTCGAGCGATTCGAGAACCAATGGTTCCGACACTGGCCAGATGATGATGACATGGAGAGTTGATGATCTCCCCCAACATACCATCCCTCACACTTTTTTTATTTCCCCCACCACGTCCAAACCCCCTTTCCTCCTCCTCCGCCCTGCAGCAACATCGTCATCATTTTTTGAACTATCTATTTGCCTACCCCCCATTCCTCACACTCTCTTTTATTTCCTTTCTCCCTTCTCCTAAGAATAGGACACCACGTCCAACTCACACACACTCCCAGCTTCGCCTCACGAACTTCCTTCCAATATCCAACTATCCCCACCAACTAATAATTTGTTTTGTCCCCCCAAATCCTAATAATGGTAATATCTCTATATAACTTTCCCACCCCCCGCTCCCAATCCCTTGCCAGGTCACCTTCTGTTATTTAAAAACATTAAGACTTCCTCAACACATCCTTTCGATTAAGAAGATTCTTCACTATAATTTTCACATTCAAATTAGACTCCTCCTGATCACTACGCCTTACAATTACAACGATCAAACTCCCTCGTTTGTACCCATAGGCACATTCTGTACCCCGCGTTCGACACAAAAGAATCCCGACTTACTTGTATTACTTCTTTAATGGATTCTTATAAAAATCCAACAATTTAACACATTTTAGAAAGTTATAACGATTTCAGGAGTAGGGTATTTTAACTCATTATTTTTACACCCCTCACTTCTTCAGAATCCTCTCTCTCTCTCTCTCTCTCTCTCTCTCTCTCTCTCTCTCTCT